AAATCCAGAGGGGAGGGGGGGTCATCGATTTGGGAATTCCAAAGGGGTGGGGGGCTGAACGATTTCGTAAATCCAAATGAGGGGGGACTGGGGAATTATAGACATATTAAGTCTTATAGAAAACGACCTTCGACACCTTCAACCGGGACTTACGTTGATCACGATTTAAGAGTCGAAAAAATCACTACAAAAACGTTTGAAAACCACGACAAAAACATCTAAAACTGTATATGAATTCAAAATACGTAAATTGAAAGCAACGCAGCTTATTCTCGAGTCATTTTAACAAAGTTTAAAGCATCCGCGTGGGTCCGTGATCGGCGATTGTAAACAACATATGGTCAGCGGTTTCTTGACAGAAATTAATGGCGTCTCGGTCGTCTTGGTCGCAGATCCGTAGTTTATTTTTTCTTGCGAGTCTCACTTCTTTGAACACTTGTTAATAGAAATTAATTATACAAGGTAAAAGATAAGTAATTCCAACAGCAATGATTTTTGCGTGTTTTTAAGCACTTCCACGAATCTAGACGATGCATTGTTTTCGAACGATCTGACAGTTTTACGATTGCGTTCTCTAAAACATTGCTTGTTTTGAAGAGAATATTTATTTTCGTTCATTTCCAAGGGGGGAAATTAATTTCCTAGGGGGGCAAAACACGATTTTGGAATTCCTAAGGGGAGGGGGGGATACCCGATTTTGGAATTTCCCAAGGAGAGGGGGGGTCGAAAATCGATGCCGCCCGTCGTATGGTACGGATATTTTCTGGAACTACCCAATGGAAGTCTAATTTTCCTTTGTTCAGAGCAATTGAATACTCTATTTTTTTATAAAATTTTAAAAAGCATTTTAAAAACTAAACTTAAGAGTGAGCAAGATGTCAATGTGAGTTACCTACCCTTGCATTAGGATCTTCATTGACAACAGCATGATTGACAATCCTCTTGGCACGGTCTGCATACCTGAGAGTCGATAAAGTTTCTTCATAGTTATCAGCTGATGGACTGACTGTAGCAACCATCACAGTCTTACTATTGCCACCAAGATTATCCTACAATGAAAACCAAATGGGTTTTACTATACATTTTTCTTTTTGGTGTAGTTTTTCGCTTGATTCAAGTTGAAAGCCATAACAGTTAGTATTCACAGTGGACTCCCAATAATACAGAAGGTTTAGTAAACTTAAAGGGACATGGTCCACTAGCATGCAATGCGGTCGTGTTTTAGATTTTTCATATATGGAAAATGAGGTGACTTCGAATATCCATTTGCAATCCGTTTCCATCCGTCGGTTTAACGGTCGAATCTTAAAGCATCAAAAAGGAACAATAAAGAGTAAGTTTTTGCTTATATTACGATGTATTTCTATTTTCAAACAGAAACAAAAGCTCGAAAGGGATGCTGGTGGACCATGTCCCTTTAATAAAATGGCAATACTAAGTATTTACCTTAAGAAGCCAGGTTAAAACGGAATCTCTGTATGGTACAAAGTGAGCTCCTTTCTTGTGGTGCTTGACAGAAGACTGTTGACACAAAAAGAGAGTGAAATTGATGCATAAAACTAAATATGGCTTAGAGAGCAATCTGAAACAGTGAAATAAAAGCAACATTATATCAGCAAAATAACTGTTTTAGTGCAAAACACATCTCAGCAAAATGAACTTGCAATAAAGAAATAAAAAACAGTTTCATTTTTAAAAAACAGCTTTTTCTTGAAAGGTTACCTGGTCTGCTAAACTTGATATAACTTGTCCTAATGTTGTCAAAGATCTAAAACAAAATCAAAGAAAATCTCTTTACATTCTTTCTAAAATTTATAACTTTCAAGAGTCAAAAAAATCACATACTTGTTAATGTTGCTTCCTTCTTTGAGTCTTTCACCTTCRGCYCCYGTCTTGCTTGCCCTTTCACTGCCAGCCAARTCGACAAGACTCATTTTACTGACTTTCTCTCCAATACACTGAAAAAATATTGTAATAAAAATTAAACATGGGATAAGAGTATTAAGTAAAGCCTCAGACCTCAAGCAAACATGGGAAGAATTTCAAATACAATGTAATYCTACCTCAGTATGGTGATCATATTCTGTTCTTGCCAGCACAATATTGAAGACTGCATGGGAACGACTACTTTCTGTATTCATACGAGTGGCTGCTACAGTTCTTGACTTATTTCCTTCCATCATRATAGTTTCGATGTCCTACAACACAATGAACAATACATTTTTACTTTTTATAACTATGTAATCAGGCAAGCAAAATCTTGTACCCACTGCAGATTCTTCTCCGTTATCCAGCAGAAAACCACAGGTTTTGGTTTGAGACAAAGGAGAATTTGATTTGATTGGTTCAAAAATTCCAATGTGCCATCAGTATTGATACACGTACATTTTACGACCTAAATTCAGGATCTTCTCATATAGTTTTCCCCTTGGAAACTGAGAAAGATCTACAGTCTTTGACATTACTACTTGACAATTTTTCGCTTGAGCACTACATATACTGTGTGCATAAACTGAAAATATTCCCTTCCCTCCCCTCCCACCCGCGCCAATGTTGCAAGCAGGGATTAATGAATGGACATCAAATGAAAAGAAAGCCACAYGATATAGAATTAGGGGGATGGGCGGGCACAAGGAAAGTTTTTATCGACGAAAAGTATGAGAAATGTCATGCCTGCGTAATAAATTGTCAAAGTTAGATTATAGGTGCGAGAGTGAGTCAGGCAGAGAAATGTTCTTACCTCGTAAGATGAAACAACCAACTTTGTAAGACCCTCAACATATGGACCAAGGACTTTGTGCTCTCGTACACGCAGGGCTGTGTTACCACTATTTGAGAAAAAAAATGTTAAATATTATCATTCATAAATAAATGAATGAGAAAAATATATACAATATTATTAAATTAATGAATAAATGAATTAATGGTATTATAACAATAGAAGATTTTGGTTGGTTCTTAACTCCATATACAATTTGATAAAAACATTATACACCCTTTTAATAAGTCCCAAGAGGTATTGTGTTCTCCACACTTGACGTCCAGTTTATTCTTTTGAAATTTTTACAATACAAAAGTAAATTACAAGAATAAATTTGATGTCAAGTGCAGAGAACACAATACCTCAGGACTTATTAAAAGGGTGTATATTAAGAACAGCTGTTTTTTGGAGCTTTAAGTTAATTTTGTTCTTATGGTAATATAAAACAAGACAGTTCAGGCTGGTTGTTCTCAACCCACTTGTTCTCATATGCGAGTTTTTACTGTACATCTCTGGTAGTCATAGTAGCACAAAGAGATTGTCTAAAAATTATATGATTATTGTACATACTTACCCTCTTGGGCAGAGTAGATCTCGGACTTTTTCATTGTAGATTTCAATGTAAGAAACTTCAACTCTATAGTTGACATCATTGTTGTCATTCTAGGATAAACAAATTTTATCATTATTACTATTATTTTTTTTATCATCATCATCATCATCATCACTATTATCATTATTATTATTAATGTACCATTTCTGGTATTTATGAAATAAAAGGATTATTTATTATTATTATTAAAAAACTAAATTTTAATTAAAATTCATTCCCTTAGACTTTTTTGTTTGTTTTTGTTCATTCCATTGTTCACTTTTCCCTTCCATCATCTTCYTTCTTCTGTTCTTCGATCAGTCAATCAATTGATCATGAAGCTTCTCATTTTTTATCATTATGGATTAAAAAGTTTAATGAGGTAAAACAGACATTATTTTTTCTTATCCCTATGAAATTTCTACCTTATCTTGATGCACACACTATAAATCTTGCCAATTTTTTTAACTCACCGTTGATATTCCAGCAAATAAATTGTCACACAATCTTGGAATGACACCTTTGTCACCTTGTCCACCCATCATGGTATATGTCTTGCCAGARCCTAGTATCATATTGCGACATTAATATCATTTAAACCGTGGACTATCAAAGAGCTGTCAAACCCCCACACAGCTACAGCTGTAATTTATATCTTGAGATTTATTAATCTGTCATTTTGTTAAATTATATTTTTTTCAAATGCCAAGCCAAAAGAATAGATAAAATGGCCATAAATCATTGATATTTTTGCCATTTTCAGACTCTAAAAACTTTTACGTGATCCAAATCTTAAGACCCCCAGCTTATCCAGGAGAGTTGACAGCCCTGCTATCACAACACCAATGTTAAGATTGGGTATTGGACTGTGGTCTAAGGTCACAATCAAGAAAAGAAAAAATGTTGATAAAATAGCTTAATTACCTGTTTGGCCATAAGCAAATATACAGGCATTGTAGCCTTCAAATGCATTCTCCAATACATCTTTACCAAGACATTCATAAACTTTTTCTTGGTCTGAAAACAAAAAATAATTTCAAATGCTKRACTGACAAGGAAAGTTGGATTGCCYGAGGTTACATTTTACCTGCATATTTGTTGTTTGTAGAGTCTATGGACCAAAAGCAGTGATCAAAGGCAAACGTCTAATTAAAATAACAATAAAAATAATGTTACTTAAAATTTATCATTCAATAAATTGTGCTAATAAGGATTAGTTTATTGTTTAATTAGAACTAATTAATTTAGTGATAAATAGTGCAATGTTTTGCACACTTAGCACAATATCAAAAAAGTTCTTTCAAAGCATAAAATACTACTGTAACACAGCTAGTAAAAATGTTATAATCTTAAGAAAATGTTATGAACAGTTGCCTCAGACTTGTTTTTATTTACAATCTTAAAGCAGACACTTGGTTGATAAGCATTGACCTTCGCTGATGAAGGTTAAAGAAGTAATAAGTCTGAGACAACTACCCAATAAAGTTTTATCATGAATCCTGACTGCAAACTTGAAAGTATTCAAAAAGTATTCAAACAAATATGGTTTAATCTTGCTACACAAGTGTTAAGCCTTAAGACTGATTCATGGCCTCATTGCCTAAACTTCATGCTCTATAAAATTTATACAAGTTCAAAACTAATCATGATAACRATATAAGTTTAGCACTGTTTTGGAAGTTAAATAGTATCAATTGATATCCTGCCAAGTTCTCATTGCATGCACACGAAAAGGTCAGATATTTATGAAAAGAACAAAATAGTCACTTGGCAAATGTCCACAACAGCAGGCATCAGAGCAGAAAASCTTCACCTCTAACCTATTTACAGCTCTACATAATCTTTGAATTGAGAAATGGTGGCCAATTCTCAATAATAGTGTTCTTGAAAGACAAGCCTCTCGCTTAAGTAGTGACACAAAAGCTTTTTGCATGGATGAGTGGCTATCTTATCCTTTTGAAATTAAAATTTCAAAAGGATTGTTATAATCAAGCTGGTCAGCTATTTTTCAATTTGGGCTGATATTTTGTAAACAAGAGCTTATTTATTCTTTGTTTACTACACTCCATTAGTCATTAATATCAGTTATAAGTGAGGATTTATAACATGTGCATTCATTTGATGGTTCAAATGTGCAATGAGAGCATATACAATATGTAGAAACACAGCATTCAAATGAAGAGTTGCTGTTGTTTTATAAAAGCATAAAAAGATATTTTCTGTGTTTGCAGTCAACATATAGGATTGCTGTGAGAACACAAGAAATGCTGTGAATCTTGAGCTGAAAGCATCTGAAATATTTCTTCATTTAGGCTTCAGTATGGGACCACATCAAAACATTGTGTAATCATCAACCATGTTTGAACTTTTTTCTAAACATCTTCCTGGTTAATTTTCATCATTTCAAACAACAACATTTTATTCAAGAACCTTGTTTACATACACTTACAAAATGTCCTCACTGAACAACTGAGACATAAATCTTAGAAAATTAGTTCAAATATTTGTACAGCAGGGATCAATAATTTATCATGTCAGACTTTGGTAACTACTACTACCATAAYAAAATAAAAAAAGACAAATTCTCATTGGATACATCTGTCTAACAGCCAACAATATGCATACTCCTTAAGTCCAACTTCACTAATTTGTTATTTGAAAAATATTTTGTATTTTCTCTGCCACAAYCTTACTGAATAAATATAATCACCTMAGTAATTATGTTTAAAATCAATTGAGTCTGACTTGTGGAATTGTATTCTTGTGTAATATAGTACAATCTAGATGATTCCTACATTCTGCTATTCTTTGTTCAAATGTCTGAACGTTTAGACAATGAAGAAATATAAACAGACTTGTAAAACTAATACTTTAAGGCGATGAAGTCATTGTTAATTCATATTATGAACAACTACTGTTTTAAAGCGTTTTAGTATTAAAGTATCAYAGAGCTTTGCAATGATAAACGAGACCTGTCTGAGGAGGTTAAATCTAGAGTCGTGCTCATTATGTTCAAATATGCCTTGAAGCAAGTGGAATTTTTCAAATAAATGTTGAAGACAAAAAGATAAGAAATGACTTACCTTCGACTGTTTCCTAATTCCCACCAMAGCAGATATCGTAATGAAAATAAAAAGAACAATAATACATTAGAGCTTAATTACCATTACTTACAATAAGTATATTTACAATACGTCATATACGATATGTTTACAAAACACTCGGTCAATTTGAAGAGATAGAACAACAAGAAAATTRTTTGAATTTGACTTGAAATAGGAACTGAATGAACTGGCAAGTTTAATAATATGCTTGATAATTGTTGTAAAATTGGCTARATAACTCAAAAGAAAACAAACTATTTGGCTAGCAGATTTTATTTTTAGATATATATGACCCAACCTTGTGCTAAAGGAAGGAGTAAAAATGCTTGAGGTTTCACAGGTTAYTCTTCAATTAGGTAAAAAATGKTTTGTTTTGATTTTGCACAAAGTAATGTAGGGCTGGGCGCAATTCCGTTAGAAACTAATATAAATTTATGACTGMTTTTAGMTGATCTTGAAGTACTTCAGCTATCTGTCGACGAAAAACTTCAGCCGAATTTCTCATCAGTGCCATCAGGCAACGACGCGAGACACGTTACGATCATTCATTCCATAGTAATGAAAATGGTTGATTTCACTTATGAAATGGCTTATAAAAACAAAAACTCTTTTCACTTTTATTTACGAGCTGACACATTTTCCAGACGATCGTTTTGTGAATTAGAAATCAAGACGTGTCTGATTTTGTAATTATTTTGTAGCTTACACGAAATTCGAAACGCAAGGAACAGTTTGAAATGGGCATTCCAAGCATTTGTTTCAAGCACAATATTTTAAAATAYTTGTATGAAATCTCAGTAAGATTAAAACGGAAATATCCCTACTGTTCGTATAAGTCAACACTGAAGATTCTGGGAAATTATATGGGTAAAACTAAGAAAAAATAAATATTATAAAGTGACTCTYGAGATGGATGATTCGCCAATTTTCAAGCTTAAGATTACAACTCCAAGATTTGAGTCATGTGATGTTTTAACTAAAAATACAAAGATTTTACTAAAAGATAAATGTTGTCTCGCAAAAGGATAGCAATATAAGCTCAGAAGAATAACTTAAAATTTGTACAATTTTGTCATCAATTTTACCTGTCTCTAGGCGAGAAGAGCACTGTCGAATTTCCATCTACCATGTCGACAACGACTTTGTCGCCCAGTTCTATCTCTGCAGAAGAACAAATAGTTAATAACCGATACTGACAACTGCAAGAAGTGAAGAGATTCATTCAAACTACGATACCAACCTCGCCGGTTTAATGGCCGAACTCGTACGGCAACTTTGACTTTGGATCCCATTCTAAAAGCCTTTGGTTGCCTAAACTATGGTTTTAAAAAGGTAAAATTGAAATTCAATACTACRAAATGTTTACAATTCATCACTTTGCGATAATTTGGAGGTAATTAAGTGTCCAGTTGCCGTTCAATGCAGACTATCCCTCAAACCCATCACATGTCTCGTCCGCCATATTCATTTTGCAAAGTTGGTCAGTACATCCGGGAACTCTTTTATGCAAATGAAGTAGTCAGACACTGGTACCTGATAGCATAATAGCTTTTGTGAGATCGCTCCTTTCAAGATCGTTCAATTGTCTAAAAATCYCTTTATCAAAAGATGAAATTTTGATTTATTGAAGGGTATTGTATGCCGAATAAAGAGAAGTCAAATGTACCCGTAAAAGAGGTCGCACACTAAGGCAACAATGCCCCAAAAGCTGGGCATGTGTGGAGTGACACCAAGGAGACACGAACCAGGAAGGTAGCTTGAAAAAAAGGATGAAAAAAAGTTAACGATGATCAAGAAGACGGAAAAGAAAACAAAAAAGACAATGACGTCGTCGACGAAGAAGAACACAGAGAAAAAGAAGAACTAGATACTAAAATCATCAAAATTCAGACTGGCCTGAATCGATGCACTATGATCATTATTTAAGAGTACTTAAACGCGCACTTTTATAAATAATAAAGTGGGCTTCAGGATGTGTAGTTCTTAATGTATAGTCACTTACATATAAAACTACGCCGAAAGGTAAACTGCAAAAACAATTCTCAATGGTATCTAAAAATTACAGTCAAWAGACTAAAATAACTTACCAGCAAGGCTGGGCACCTAAGCGGACTTCCTTCGCTGTCTTCAATTTCCGATGCCTAATCCGGGTGCGTAACCAATCGTAAGGGAAGCTGTTGTCAGATTGCAATGAACCCAAGGATGTATCGGTGCTTCAACAACAACAAAAACAACAACAACACAAGTTATAATGGATTCGCACCGCTGCCGGACCACTCATTTGTATCGTTTTTATTCTTTCTTTTTTTTTAGTTTCTATTTCATCCCCGTTTTTAAATCGTCGTTCTTCACTCTGTCACGGTTAAGTCAAGACACTGGCCYTACAATTATAGATTCACTGTTGACAGCTAAACACAATGTCGTTACGTGTATTACGCTACTTCTCAACTTACATTCTCAGTAGCCACCAAGTATACCTCTTTTAATCCATACGTTAATTATATTTCAGCGATACTACTCATTACTGCGTGAACTAAAAGGAAAACGGATGTCTACCAAGCATTCTACACCATCGCAAAAGCGCTCCCAAGGAAGAAAGTCTCAATTACTTGTCACAGTGATAGGTCTAACCACAGCTTTCTGCCTTCGTTGGAGTATGTGTAGGAGTGTTTGTAGTGAGAGAATGGCGACAGAAAATATCTCAGGATAGTCAAGGTTGGTTTCAGAGGTATTGCCTCTTTGGGATTTTCCAGAAAAATTACGGACTTATAAAATCCAGCACAGATCTTGATTCAGTACCACGCAGGGCGCACCGATATTATAATCATGAYATTCAAGATTCAAATGCGCATGCTGGATATCATCATCAGTCGCGCACGACATATTCCTGATGTTAAATATTATTCAAGTCAGCGACTCACAAGCAACTATCAAGCATCAATGATTATCGGTCATTTATCACCAAAGGCTTATATTCATATTGACATGTACATCTATACATCTCTAGACCCCTCGCCGTGACGTCAAAGCAGATCTATCTCATGCATCTCTAGGCGATCGGCACTCGTGTACGAGGAACGCCTGGTGGATTCAATTAAGGCACCACCCATTATTCAACGCGCACATTATTATCGTGGACTAGAAGAAGAATTCGATCGTCTATTGCGCGAAAGGCAAAATTAATCGTTTAACTTAATATGTGTGTCGGTTTTTTTACCTCGTTCTATTTCGAATTTAATACTGTGAAAAGGAAAATATTCCCAGCTTGCAATGCTTTGTGGGATGATGCCTTCCTTCGGTCTGAAACCGCGCGCTGATTGGCTAAGATCAAACATGTGATGAACTGGCCGATCACACAAACGATTGCTCTCTTGCTCATTAATATGTCTTCAAATGGAGATGCATGTACATCCATTAAGGGTTTCTACACCTACTTACTCTTGCTATATATGCGATGAACCTTCCTATGCTGCACCTACCTATATACACCCGAATATCTCAACCTTACTACCTACCTATCTACGAATACCTACCTACCAGCCTATCTTGACCAGGGTACTTACAGCACATTGACTATGAGTCTGACACTGTCCCTTACCAAACTACCTTATCGACTTTTTAACTTTCATGGGGTTCCTTTGTCATAGATAGATTGTCACGTGATCGTCGTGACGTCAGCGAACCAACTCTCACGATTGACGACGTACGAGCGGCTATCAAACTTCACCTACAGAAAATAACGGCACTGGATATTTGTAAACCAACGGATACAGTATGTCTTCCAGGTAAAGCGAG